GGGAGGGTCAAATGATAGGGAAGCCATGAGGGTGTGCCAGACTCTCCACACTCTTCTTCAGCCCCCGCCCTGATGCTAGGAAAGCACATCCACCTCCACACTCCATTACAGACCTTGTTCCTCTTTGCTTCCACAAGTATATTTTTCCTCCTCTACTTCTCGACTTTTCATTTTATTATTTTTTTAAGGACTTTATTTAGTTATTTATTCGAGAGAGAGAGAGAGAGAGAGAGAGAGTGTGTGCACCAGGGGAGGAACAGAGGGAGAGGGACAAATAGACTTCATGCTGAACACAGAGTGGGATGTGGGACTCAATCCTAGGACCCTGAGATCATGACCGGAGCTGAAATCAAGAGTCAGACACTTAATTGACTGAGCCACCCAGGTGCCCCTTGACCTTTCATTTTAACCTCATTAACCTCATGAGCTTTATTTTTATTTTTAACTGGCCTCTCTTAGTACGTGTGTTTTTTATCACTCTCCTAGCTGGATTTTTGCTCTTCATTTTACCTAACAAGCTGTATGACTCTGGGCAAAGTACCTACTCTTTCTGTGCCTGCTTTCCCTTGACATAAAATGGAAATAGTAATGGTTCTGTCTGATGGGGTTATTGAGAAAATTACATGAGTTAGAAGAGTCACCTTTCTTAGAAGAGCACCTGGTATGAAGGATACATGGGGCAGATGTTATTTTTATCGAAAGTTTCACTCATTTCCCCCTTCTTCTAGTTTTAATTTTTAGCTTATTTTATTGCATTTTAATTTTAGCATTATCTTAGATCTTTTTCTTGATTTTAGGTTTTTCTATAATTTTCAATCGTTATGTTTAATTTTGTTTACATTATTGTTAGTGCTCTCTAATAGTTTACTTCAATTACTAGCTTAGGCCTTGGGTTTTGTTGACTCTCTTTGTTCTCTCATTTCTTCTTTTTTATTCAAATCAACAGTGACGGTGATTTTTTTTTTTAAGAATTTATTTATTTATTTGACAGAGATCACAGGTAGGCAGAGAGGCAGGCAGAGAGAGAGGGGGAAGCAGGCTCCCCGCTGAGCAGAGCCCGATTCGCAACTCGATCCCAGGTCCCTGAGATCATGACCTGAGCCGAAGGCAGAGGCTTTAACCCACTGAGCCACCCAGGCACCTTGTGTGATGGTGATTTTTAATGGCCTTTCTTGTGGGCAACAAGAAGTGAGTCCAGAGAAATGGTTACCAAACTTTAGTGTGTCTTAGAATCACCTAGAGGGCTTGTAAAACACAGAATGCTGGCACCAGCCCCATAGTTTGGGATTCAGCGGGTCTAATTTGGGGTCCAGGTGATGCTGATGTTGTGAACTGGTGACATTTTGAGAATCACTGGTCTGGAAAGGTATGAATAGGGGGCAGAGTCCTTATTATAACTAGGAAAACCCCCTCCTATGCATTGTAGCCCATTTTTGCCATGCACCCACTGCTTTATTGGATTTTCTTTAATTCATTCTACTTCCTGCACAGTATAAACTCTTCCCAGGGCCATTACCTCCACCCCCACGTCCCCCCCCCCCACCCCCACGGCATATGGGTCACTGATTGGCCAAAAAGTTTACTTGTTAAAATATCACACCAAATATATATATATTACACCATTCTCCTTAAGAGAAAATATGGGGCACCTGGGTGGCTCAGTGGGTTAAAGCCTCTGCCTTCGGTTCAGGTCATGATCCCAGGGTCCTGGGATCAAGCCCTACATCGGGCTCTCTGCTCAGCAGGGAGCCTGCTTCCCTTCCTCTCTCTCTGCCTGCCTCTCTGTCTACTTGTGATCTCTGTCAAATAAATAAATAAAATCTTTTTAAAAAAAAGAGAGAGAGAAAATATGTGACTCAGAATCCATGGTAACCAAAATGTATAATAATTGGGTTTTAGGCAAATGTTGGTAATAGCATGCTAGGAGGGAAGAGCAAGGTGAACCTCATACAAGAATATGCAGTTCTGGCTTGACCCCTGTGGGAAGTCAAGAGTTATGGAGCTCTCAGAGGACCCGTAAGAATCCAGGAACTTAGAAATCAGAGTCCTGTCACTGCTTTCAAAGTATTCACTTCCAATATAATTTGGAGAAGAATAATGACAAAGACAACTAAAAGCCCTGCAGTGGCCCATCTCTGTCCCCTCCTTTTTTCCCCAGGATCACTGTTTCCTTATACTGGGTGCATACAACCTACGTGTGTTTGTATAATTCTTTTTTCTGTGTGTCTACTAAAAATATATGGCATTATTACATGTTATATGATATTTTCATACTTTGTATCTTTCCTCACACTTTCTGATTATGATCTTTGCCTCCCCTCTACCTCTATTATCCTGTCCCCAACCCCTTCACTCTCCCAAATTCTGAAAGTATAGGGAAATGGTTGGGCTGGACTTTTCCAGGCCTTTTTCTTTGTCCCTAGAAAGTACAGGATGCTATCCTGTGAAAACTAGAATCCTTCAAAGGATACTTTTATCAAATTTGGATCTAAGCCACATTGGTAACTCTGGTAATGACAATTCCCTTTTCTGCCCCCAAATGCCTGACCGCTTTGTGTCTTCCATTGCAAGATTTTCCCATTGAAAGAATTCTTACCCAAAACCAATCTTCCGGTCTTCTCCCTACCTCTCACACCCTGCCATTTGGAACATACTGAAAAGTTTCAGAAAGTGAGAGGGGACTTAGCTATCTCCAGATGGAGGGATCTAACCCACTGCCTGATTCCAGCCATCTCACTAGTGACCCCCAATCCAGTGGGGATTAATGGTCAGTCAGAAATCCTGCAGACTCACCCCATATCTGGACTCAGCTGGGCTCAACCGGCTGGATGTAGAGTGTACTGCTCCACAAGCAACCGATGAGCCAAGACTTATACAGCACCACCAGAGAGTGGTGGTGGTCCTGGAGCATAATCTGCACTCTCCAAGAATCCTCCTCTGCATTTTGGCTGGTTGGGACCCCAAGACTAAGGTCTACAAAATGTTGGGGGCTGTTCATGTTAACTGCCTGCTAGGCTTCTTGATTTTTCATTACTAATTTCTCTGTGTTTGGTCTTTTCGATCTTCTAATTCCCAAGCTATTTCTTAGAGACACAGATAGATCCATCATTCTTACCTCTATCAGTTTTATGGCTTCTATTGCAAAATTGTCTAATGCATTAGCAAAGAAATCTTCTTCTATGATTTTAGAACTTATTCCTTGGCAAGCTGAAAATATGATGTGTCTTCATGTTGAAGTAAGCATATAATTTATCACCTAAACTGGAACATTTTTGAGAGTGACAAATGCCAAACCACTCGAGATGCTAATGCAACAGAAGAACACTGGCCAGTCTAGACAAACCAGATGCACGATCATGGTCACCCTACTGAGTGTGCACATTCCCTCCCCCAAAGGAAGCCTCTAGAGGAAGCTTTCAGCAAACAGGCTGTGGTGTCACCCCTGCCAGGACCATCTGCTTGTGTTTGCAGGCCCGGGGAAGCCTTGAGACTAGCTAAGTCACACAAAATATATTTGGACACATGTGGGATCTGTAGTCCAACTGCCTGTGTTCTTCCAGTGGAGAAATCTGTACAAATCTATGTTATAAATAGAAACTTCATTATCCGCACTGTGTGTTTCTGCCTTGGCTCAAAATGTAGGAACTTCCATCAACATTTCCTTTCTCTAAGCAAAGTGTTGGAGACTTTGACAAACATTTCTGCCTTCTCAGAAATGCCAAGGAAAAAAATCTTCCATTCTTAGCAAATTGCAATTACTAGCAACTTCTCATACAAGGGGTGACTGAACTGATGGGGTAGACCTGGGAGAAACCAGTATCCAGTAGGCCGCGTTTCTCTATTGATCAGGGGTAATAATAGTAATAACTGACATTGATTTAATGGTTGCTCTATGCTGCGGAACTTTACATGGTTTCATATGGTGCATTAGCTCCAGGCCTGCGGGTCAGCAAACTCAGAGAGTGTCACAGAGGATATTAAAAATGCACGAATAACAACAACAAAAAACCCAGCAGAGTGAAAATTCTAGACACAGGGTTTGCTCTGTTTGTGTGTGTCGTAACTTCATGAATTCCACGAAGCCCTGGTGGAGCTGATCCTGTGTCCCTCCCATTGCTGGCAGGTGGGCAGGACCTCACAGGCAGGGGCCGAGGCCTGCATCCACTTGCCGCATACCAGCAGGAGTTAAGGATCTGACATTCAGATTTAACCTTAAAGGGAAGAGGAAACATGAGTCACAACTTCACTGGACAGTTCTGCCACACGGGTTTCTGTAATGTGATTTAGCTCACACCCAACTAGTAAATACAAGGAGTAGTATCAGGTTAACAAAGTCAAATTGGTTCCTACCCAGCTTTTCCTTTGCCAACGGAGAGGAGAATTATAATTGTCGGCTGGAAAGAGAGAGCCTAGCCTCTATAGTGGCAGCCGGAGCACTTTCAGCTTTAATTTTTAAAATGTAAAGCAAACATCTGCACTCTCAGAGGGACCTTGGACCCTTGGACCTGGACCTTGCACAGTTCTTGGCTCACTGCCGCCTGTGCTGCCTCAAGCGCCTACTGTACAAACCTCCCAGGGGCTCGGAGGTCGGCTTCCAGCCACACCATCTCTGTGCCAGGCAGCACTACTATCTTGCTTGCTCTCAATTGGTTCAGAATCTTGAAGGAAGGAGAAAGAGAAGTGAGGGATTAGAGCCTCCTCACCTTTTTCTTATTTAAAAAAAAAAAAAAAAGATTGTCTTATTTATTTTAGAGAGAGAGTGTGTGTGA